TACTGAAAATTGTGCTGTAAGAAATGTAAGAATTCTACGTGATTGGTTTTTGGAACCTCCAAACCAATATATAAGTGTTGTTGCTAAAGGAATTGATGAAGTTGATTCTGCACTGAAATCTTTCTACGAGAATTGTGAATCTTTTTTGTAAAAAAAAAAAATTTTTAAATGTTTTAAAAAATAAACATGAATAATTTGAAATAATATCTCTCTCTCGTAATTTTAAAAACCTATCCCTTAAATATTATTTAATTTGAGTATTTCTGAAAATAAAACTTAAAATTAATTCCTGAAAATAAAATTAACAAGGAAAATAATAATTTTAAATCCAATTTATAGATAAATATATTTTTTTTATTGATGTGAAAATTCATATTTTATAAACATCAATAATTAAAAAATTCACTATCATTTATTTAAATTTGAATTCCATGGCGTTGTATGGTCCTCCCAAGTACTTCATGTATAACTTGTTTAAACTTGCAGCTTCTTGCATCATCTCCAAGGTATTCGGCTCATCCTCGAAGAGTTTCACAAATCTGGCTGGTAGAAAAGTGATAAATTCATTATCTATTTCTGTCATAATCCTTCCTCCGAATCTTGTTTGTACTTTGGTTAATTTATTAACCATGTAGCGACCCTTGGGAACCAATTCGGAAAGTGGCTTCGTTGGTAAGGTAGCCTCCATGCGTCCAACAGCATTTACTTTTTCTAAATCCATTTTTTTTATACTTGTCAAAAACAAACCTTGAACAGAAAGATGAAAATCAAAATAAATATATAATATATTAAAAAGCTCTGAAATTTAAAATGCTCTTAAAATAGAAAAGGTACATATCTGAAAATAAATGCTGAAAGAAATACTAGAATAAAATTCGAAAAAAAATGCTGAAAGAAATGCTATAATAAAATTTGAAATAAATTGCTGAAAATAAATGCTAAAAGAAATACTATAATAAAATTTGAAATAAATTGCTGAAAATAAATGCTGAAAGAAATATTATAATAAAATTTGAAATAAATTGCTGAAAATAAATGCTGAAAGAAATATCATAATAAAATTTGAAAATATGCTGAAAGAAATGCAATAATAAAATTTGAAAAAAATGCTGAAAGTAAAATGCTGAAACAAATGCTGCAATAAAATATGAAAAAAAATGAAAAGAAAAAATGCTGGAAACAAAGCTGCTGTAAAGAGAAAACTAATACTTACTGTTACTTGGAAAAGCTGACGGAGAGACAATGACTCTTGTGGCATGGGAATCGCTTTATATCATCAGTATCCCCCCCACTTTTCACTACAACCCCACCACCACTAGAATGCGTGCGCAATTCCTATCGTATGTTACTATCATCCACCCCAATTAACACACATACACTCACACACTATTAAAGAAAGTAATTCAACTAGAAAATAATTATTTATTTATTTATACATTTTTTAAAATTATTTTTTAAATTTTTCTTCGGTTAAAAATGGTTCTGGAGGTTCTAATAATTCCATCTGAAAAAATTAATATTATTATTATTATTATTATTATTATTATTATTATTATTATTATTATTATTATTATCATTATTATTATTATTAAAATACTAATATTACCTCTGAAATGACAATAATTGGACTGATAATGAGAATGACATCATCATCATCATCATCATCATCATCATCATCATCATCATCACTATTTTCAAAAAATTCATAATATTCGTCATCATCATAATCATCACTATCCGAATATATGGAACTTTCGCTCTCCAACTCCTCCTCATTTTCACTATCCATAATGAAAACGATTAATCGTTCTGCACCTTCGTTACTGTCATCATCATCATCAAAATATGAATAAGCTTCTTCCATTCCTTTTCTTGACTGAAAAAAAGAAATTAATTTTTAAAAAAATTATTTGTCCAGATCTACAAAATTTTAATCTTATGGGCAAGCAATGTAAAAGAATATTTAAACAAGGAATGTTATTGGAGGTGACATCATTGGTCTCACCCCTCCCCATAAACTTTAAATTTTTTTAAAAAATCATAATTAAATTTCCTGAAAAAAGCTTGAAAACAAAAAATAAAATCCAAAGATAAAAAACAAAAAAAATAAAATCCAAAGATAAAAAAGAATGAAACAAAATCTAAAATTCTAATAAAAAAATAAAACTTGAAAGAATAGCTAAAAAACCTAAGTGAAAACCTATAAGAAAAAAAATTGAAAGAAATGGTAAAAAAAACCTGAAAGAAAGAAGAGCTAAAAAAATCTGAAAGAAGAGCTAAAAGAATCTAAAAGAAAAGCAAAAGAAATTCGAAAAAAGCAAAAAGAATCTGAAAGAATAACTAAAAAACCTGAAAGAAAAGAAAAAATCTAAAAATAAAAAAAAAATTTGAAAGAAAAAAAGGGAAGAACAGCTAAAAAAAAATCTGAAAAAAAGGAAAAAAAAAATCTGAAAGAAGAGCTAAAAATCCTGAAAAAAATGCTAAAAAAATCTGAACGAAAAGCAAATGAAATCTAAAATAAAAGCTGAAAGAAAAGCGAAAAAAAAGAAAAGCTAAAAAACAACTAAAAGCAAAATTGAAAAACAAATTTGCTTTTAAAATCTAAAAAACGTAAAAAGGCACGTCTTTATATGTATCAGTCGCAACTCACATTTGTCGTTACAACACTTGTATATAGAACTTTGCTTAACTTTCTTGTCCATAAAATAAGATTCTGTAAATAACAAAATTTTATGCAAAAATGATTTTTTTATTATTTTGTTAAAAAAATTAAGCTGGACAATCAAGAAGAGTGCAAAATGCCCCTATATCTTTTATTTTTGTTCTGATCTGGTGATGAATTAGATGATGATGATGATGATGATACAGTTGGCGATGGGGTTCTAGGTGGCTCCGGTGACATGTTAAAAAGTTCGAAAACCTGAAAAGTATGGGTTTAATGGAAGAAATCAATAATTAAAATTATTATTAGAAGAAAATATAACTATTAGATTAAATAAAATTACCTCATCGTCGCTGATGTTAATGATCAGTACATCCTCATCATCTTCGATAACCTGAACGTCATCATCATCTTCGATAACCTGAACGTCATTATCATTTTCGATAACCTGAATGTCATCATCATCTTCGATAACCTGAATGTCATCATCTTCGATAACCGGAACGTCATCAATCAACTGAAATTCGACAGGTTGCAGTGCCATGAACTCAGATGTTTCAGAAACCTAAAAATAAGTAATTGAGTTAATAAAATAAGTAAATATAATAAATATAATAAATAGATTAAATTACTTCTTCATCGTTGATATTGATGTTCAATATATTCTCACTGTAATGACTATCATTAAGATAGTCATCATTGTCAGAAATGTCCAGGATAACGGTTGAAGCTTGGCTGTTATAAGATTCATTATCGGTACTTGATATTTCTGTTGATCCGTGACTATCATAGGATTCGTCAAAAATCGAGATAGAAAATCTAGCAATAGTCCTGTTCATTTGATTATCCATTTTTTCCTACAAAATTAAAAAAATATATATATATATATATCGTTATCTTAAATATAGCTAAAAATAATTAAAAAAGATAAAAATGTAGAAGATACCTTTTAATGGTTCTACTCTCGAAGCCTGAAAGAAAGTGATGGTGATCTCGGTTCTTGACTCTCAACAGCACCTCCCACCAGGCCCAACTGCCCCACTCTCATCTATCTTCTCTCTCTCTCTCTCTCTCTCGTCTATCTTCCCTCTTTCTCTATTTCGGCTACCCTCTCTACGCGTGTAATATGCCAATTTTAAAAGGGGAAATAAAACAGGGTTTTCTTATAAAATGTAAAAAATCCCTTTTTTTTATTTATTTCACCATTGATTAACATGATATATTTTCAAGTCACAGACTGTTAATCAATGGTAAAATAAAAAATGTGATTTTAACAAAAATAATAACAAATAAAGAAAATCTAATATTACAACTGAAACTAATTAACAATAAAGGATCAATATAATTTCAAACATGGATAGAAATAATAACAAAATTAAATAAAAATATTTTTTTAATTTTAATTATTTATAATATAAAAACCCTGTAAATTGACAACCTAACCTAAAAAACAAACATTTTTCTTTTTAATATTACACTGACAAGCTTTCATAAATTAAAAAAACATCTTCACTTTTTCACCTTTTTTTTCATGTTCACATTATTTTTTTTTTTATCTATTAGGTTTTAAAAACCTTTTCATACAGAACACTCTTCTTCTAAAAAATAAATATTTTTCTTTCTTAATAATACACTACACTGTCCAGCTTTCATAAATTAACAAAATATCACTTTCTACTTTTTTAAAAAAACGCAATCATTTAAATAATACAAAAATAATACAAAAATATTTTTTTGGTTAAAGATAAATATTACAAAAATAATTTTTGGTATAAGATAAATTATATACACTATTATTTATACTAAATACCTTTTTCTTCTTCTCAAAACATCTAAAACAAAAAAATATTTTTTTAATTTTAATTATTTATAATATAAAAACCCTGTAAATTGACAACCTAACCTAAAAAACAAACATTTTTCTTTTTAATATTACACTGACAAGCTTTCATAAATTAAAAAAACATCTTCACTTTTTCACCTTTTTTTTTCATGTTCACATTATTTTTTTTTTATCTATTAGGTTTTAAAAACCTTTTCATACAGAACACTCTTCTTCTAAAAAATAAATATTTTTCTTTCTTAATAATACACTACACTGTCCAGCTTTCATAAATTAACAAAATATCACTTTCTACTTTTTTTAAAAAACGCAATCATTTAAATAATACAAAAATAATTTTTTGGTTAAAGATAAATATTACAAAAATAATTTTTGGTATAAGATAAATTATATACACTATTATTTATACTAAATACCTTTTTCTTCTTCTCAAAACATCTAAAACAAAATTATTTATTATATAAAAATAAAAAAGAAAATTTACCAAGCCACTAGTCACACAAAACCTTGTGCAATTTCGTCTACAAATGCAAACAATTCTTCGAAATCAAATTCTTCTTTACTGGTGTTATCAACTTCTTCATTACATAATTTTTCAACTATAAGTAGTTCTTCCAAAGAATAATCTAATTCAGGCAGAAGATTGTCAATTTCAATTTCTCTTTCGAATAGAAGTTGTTCTTGAGGCTGAACTTCATGATTTTTGTTATCTACGGTTAACAATTCTTTTGGTGTTGGGTGATAATACAGTTCGCACGTAGCTTCCGATGTTGATGTCATTGGCATCTGAATATATCTAGGTACATCCCACCTTGTGTAGCGTACTTTTACAGGAACATAATCCTCTTCACAATTTTCATCTGCACATTTTTTCACGGTGCACGCAGCTTCCGATTTTGATGGGACTAGAATGTACCGTGGTACATCCCATCTTGTCCGTTTTATTTTGTAAGAAACATGTTCCTCTTCATTATTTGAAGAGTTTTGACGCTGAAACAGTTACATAAAATGAATAATTAAAAACAATATAAAATATATTTAGGATTTTTAAAAATTCATTATTTTAACTCTTTTCTTTTCTGACAAACAAACAAACTTAATGTATAATAAGACTTACCGCTTAAGACTCATTTTATTTTTACAATAAGCAATAACAAAGGTTGAGATGACATTCAGTTGAAAGTTTATAACCTCATCTTATCATTTACAAAAAAAGTTTCATACTATAATAAACTATAATACTTTCCATACTAAATAATAATAAAGTGAGAATTTACTTTACATGTGAGTGATGGAGAGTTTAAATAGAATATATTACACGGTATGTTGTTCAAAATGTTTAACATTTTAGAACAAATGAAACACTACTAATTATGTAAACATAGGTCAATTCAATACTAACAATAGAAAAGATGATTTATTTTAGATATTAATTTCTGTACATTTGAAAGTAAAATGGAAAAAGTTTTGTTCACATAAATTCTTGAAATTTCAGAAATGTACCAATAATCAAAAGTTAAAATAGGAAAAAGAAATATTATATATTTACCTTGACATTTCTTGAAGCGCAGCTTTGCTCGTGATTAAATGATTTATCACCTTCCATTTTTGATTTTTTACATAAAACTTTTCTTTTTTTTCCTCGTGGTAAGAAATGCCGGTTTAAGCAACGAATATTTCGTATTAAACTTTCTCCAAAGTTAATATAGAAATAGTTGGTTCATAGCTGTGTATTTCAATACTAACATCTGATTGGCCACTACCAGCAGAACTATTAAAGCTAGCCAATCAGTGTTAATTCACTGGATATACTCACTTTGCACATTGGGAACTATGGGTTAACGCACAATGAAATTAGGAACTTGTAAGGGTTCAATCACATAGAGACCTAAAGGCGCTCGCACAACTCCAGCTGACTGCACAGGCAGCCTCCCACCACGCTGGAAACGTACAAGAGTAAGAGAGACAGAAATTCAAATTTACATCTACTCACTCTCTGATTGGCTCTTGCAGGCTGCCTGCACAGTTAGCCGGAGGTGTGCAAGCGTCTTAAAACATAGATTTTGTAACTAAATCATGTTTTAGAAAATATACAATGCAGTACTCTAGACAATTAAATATTTGATCATTACGCAAAAAGAAAAATTAAATCATCTTTAAGAACTATTGTACAATAACTATACTCGCAAGCATGAGTTAGAAAGAGACAGACATATTTGGTTTATCTTCTTACTCTCATACATATTGTTTGCAAAATTATTGTACACTGACACTAAGGTGATATTTACATGACTACTATCTCTCTTGCACATATGGCTTCTAGTATTAAATCAGCTCTGGGTGCTCAAAATCAGAAGCAAGTTGAAGACAGGCAGCACTTTTAAAGCCATCAGGAAGAGGTAAACTCTCAATGAGTAATATATTATTAACATTGGCGTGAAATTTAAATTATAATTATGTAAATAAACTATTTACTGCTGTCATTGTCTGGCGCTTTCTTGTGGTACAAACTGAAAATCGCTCAGAGAATTCGGTGGGAAATTTAAACTAAAAAATTATGTTGCGTCATCTAGTGGTGGCAGCTGGTACTAACTCGGTAGGAAATTTAAAATAAAGTGGCGCCATCTATTGGTGGCAGCCGGTACTAACTCGGTAGGGGAATTCAGAGGGAAATTTAAAAATTAAGTGGCGCCATCTATTGGTGGCAGCCCGAACTAACATGCTAGGAGAATTCGGTGGGAAATTTAAAAATTAAGTGGCGCCATCTATTGGTGGCAGCCCGAACTAACTCGGTCGATAAAGTAGATTTTTAAATTTCCAAGCGACTTTAACTTTACCGACAAAATAAAGTGGCGCCATCTAGCGGCGACCTTTGGAACTAACTAGTGGCGCCATCTAGCGGTGGCGCTCCGAACTACCTCCGTCGGTAAAGTAGAGTTCTACATTACCTGCTCGGTCGGTAACTGGGGTCGTAGCCCCCTTACTATACTACTAATGTGATTATCATTTACTAAAATTGTTATTGCAACGTGCAAAAGTAAAAAATGTGCATATACATCAGGTGATAAGACATTTTTTAAAACAATAGGACCTGTATAAAGATGAAATGTTCTAAATTCCGTAGCCTTCCAGTGAGCGTAGTCGAAAAGTCCCCTTGGACGTCTTGCAAATTCGACAGGAGTACTATGACGTAAGATTAATAACATTTTGGAAATTTTATTTATTTTGTTCATCGGCAGTCTGACAGTGAGTGGTCCTTTCACCCAAAGTGTTATTAACCATTTTACGACACCTAACAGAATTAGGTGCATATAATCCAAGGGAACGGAAGATATAAAACCAAATCGTGGAAGGTCTGCTATAATCGGACGAACATTTAATTCCAATTCGTCACTATCAGATTTCAATGTAAAGGGACCAGTACCAGGGAAACAAATTTGACCATTCTTTTTGGCATTTTTTTTGGATGGATTACTTTTAACATAAACTCCACCTATATTACACTTGGAGCAACTGTCATATCCTGTATGACCTTTTAAATATAAAACAAAAGCTTTTGCCGGAGTGTCGCAACATAAAAATTCAATTGATACACTAACATCTTCTTCTTGTAATCCATAATTTATCAGCTTTGTAGCTTCGTCCACAAATTGTTTTAAAAATTCGTTAGCATTGTCAGGCTTTCCTTTGCCAAAAAAGGCCCCCACAGGATACACTTCTTTTGAATTAATTTCCGAGCAAGAAATAAGCCACAATCCTTCTCTACTGGACTTAAAAATCTCTAAACCGTCCACATTTATACCTAACTTTATTTGTTTCATTCTTATGCCTTTTCTTTCATAGTCACGAAGAATGGATCTAACGGCTCTTTCGAGTCCAAAATGTAGATATTCACCATTACTAATTTGAGATGTTTCGGTGCGTTGCTCTGTTTTTAATAATGTTCTCGCGTCCAGTGGTAAATAAGAGTGTTCAGTGTGATTCCTTAAAATTATCAGTAATGCCGTTAGTGCCGCTAAGGTGACTTTGTATACTAATGCCCAATCACGTAAAATATTAATAAAAAAATTTTGTTTTTTGTCATTTTGCTCATCGATTTCATCATTTTCTTCTTCATCTGATTCAGAATCAAGTATATTGCTATTGGCTTCGTCTGATAAATTTTGATTTTCAAATTCGCTTAGATCTAATGAAGAATCTGAGTCAGTGCTTTTATCGAAATGAAAGAATTCCTTGTCTAAAGAATTTATCGAGTTGAATTTAAAAGAAGAAGATGGTGGAAGATCATCTATATCAGATTCAGAAGTACTGAAAGCGTCCGTTGCAAATGTATTTATTGTATTAGAAATTAGTGATGGATTTTCTGTTTTCTTGCTAAAATTTTCGTCAGTGATAAAAACTTCTTTGTCGTCTACGGAATTTATCTGATGCAATTTCATAAAAGATTTCTCCTCGTCATCAGATTCTGAAGTGCTAAAATCATCTGCTACATATTTCTTTAATCTACTAGACAATAATGGTGCAGCTATTGTTTGCTTGCTACAATTTCCTAAATTTGATGAAATTAAATTTATAGAACTGGCTGCTTCTTTCGAAGTATTAATTTTTTCCCCAATATTTTGAAGAGACTGGCAATCATTCTTAACTTCATTATTGATTATGCGGTTGAATTGTCTTCTTGAATAACCCACAAATTTTGATGTACGATTCTTTTTTATCTGAATACGATTAACTGAAAAAAAATTTTTAATCAAATTTTTCCATAGTACAATAAAAACTATAAAAGATAAAGAAAAAACTCTTCTGTGTATTAAACAATTTCAGGGTAGACAATAAAAATCTTTTTTCTGTGTAATATTGCACAAGTATTTTTTCTTTATACTTCGGTCGAAAGTACGTATTTCCCGCATCAAGGTTGCAGCAGAAAGTCTAACATTCTTTTTTTGAATTGACTAGCTCGCTCTATACTACAATTAAAAAAAATTTTAATCACTTTTTAAGCTGAAAAGTAATTTTTTTAAATTAAACAACTTTACTTTATAAAAACTTGAAAAAGAACGGTGCTGAAAAATGACCAAAATTTGCCCTTGCGGGAATTATGAAAAAAGAGTAGTTTCCCATAGTTTAAACCCTGCTGAATCCGAAAATGATAATTAGAATCTTGCAAACCTGAGGGAAAGGGATGAAAAACTACTCCTAAATAAGCAATTCCAATAATTCACGACAATTAAAATGCAGTCAAGTAACATCTAAAAAATAAACCAAAATCACTTAAAACTTGTTACTCGGGGGTTTTCTGGGTCGCTGATTACGAATATGATGTTAGTTTTTGAAAATTCAAAATGGCGGATCCAGTATGGCGGACGACTTTTTTAAAAAATCTTGAGAATCACCTGAAACTTGTTACTCGGGGGTTTTCGAGATCGCTGATTACGAAAATGATGTTAGTTTTTGAAAATTCAAAATGGCGGATCCAATATGGCGGATAAAAATTTTAAAAATCCACACAATTTGCTTAAAACTTGTTACTCGGGGGTTTTCGGGGTCGCTGATTACGAATATGATGTTAGTTTTTGAAAATTCAAAATGGCGGATACAATATGGCGGACGAAAATTTTAAAAATCCACAAAATTTGCTTAATACTTGTTACTCGGGGGTTTTCGGGGTCGCTGATTACGAATATGATGTTAGTTTTTGAAAATTCAAATTGGCGGATCCAGTATGGCAGACGACTTTTTTAAAAAATCATGAGAATCGCCTGAAACTTGTTACTCGGGGGTTTTCGGGGTCGCTGATTACGAATATGATGTTACTTTTTCAAAAATTGGAAATGGCGGTTCCGATACGGTTGGACAGTTTTCTATGAACCGTCGTATTCGCTTGAAACCACTAATATTTACTATTTGAATTGTTCTAGACATCACTTACTGTTTATTTATACGTATACCCAAGAATCACGTAATATAACCTCAATATCAAGGTAATATTACACGTGAGATTCGTAATATAACGCTGTAATATTACAGTGATCTTAAAATGTCCGCCTCAAGGTAATATTACCGGTAATGTTACTGTAATATTACGCGCTAATATTAAGGTAATATTACAGTAATATTGCAGTAATATTATACCGTAATATTACAGTAATATTGCAGTAATATTATACCGTAATATTAAGGTAAGAGAATATTACAGTAATATTATGGGAATATTTCTTTACGAAAAAAATCTACCCATCCAGGGAATCGAACCCCGAACTCAAAGCACACGAGTCCAGAGTTTTACCAACAAGCTAAATTGACTTATAATATATTTACGTTTTTTATGCTTTATGAATAACTCAAATTAGTCTCACAGGTGTCTGGAAAGTAAAAAAGTTTGCCTATGATGCCAAGAAAAATCATTGTTACCTGGTGGTTCCTTAGCACCCCCTGAAACGAGAAAACTTAACCCAAAAATCATAGCTGTTCATTTAGAGAAGTTTCACCTCTTTCAAGGGGTGATTTTAAAATATTTCCAAAAAAATTGTTTTTTAAGGGTCAGAAATAAATTTTAAATTATGTTAATGATTTTTATTTATGTCAATGTGTTTGTAGGACCTCATTTTCTAGATACAAGCCATTAATATTTTTTTTATTAAAAAACCTAGAATTCGTAACTTTTATTTTATATAGGTGACGATTTTTAATAATTTAATTAACAGTGAATTTTAATTTTTTGGAAAGTTAAAAATGTGTATTTTCAATACAAAAAATATTGAAATGTCCTTTTTTGTTATTTTCGAGATATTAATTAATGAATTATTTAATGTTAATAAAAAATGCAATATTTTATAAACAAATAATGTTATCGTAATTTAGCGTTACCAATTGAAAGCTAACGTAATTCCGCATCCAACGAGACTAATATGAACTATTTTGAATTAGAGGGATTTTTATCAACAATTGCAATGTTGTTATGCGATTATTTATTAACAATCCACTAACCCAAAATTCTTCATATAGGGCTCGTTGGATGCGGAATTACGGTAGCTTTCAATTGGTAACGTCAGAATTACGATGACTTTATTTGTATATAAAATATTTTATCTTTTGTTAACGTTAAATAATTAAATAATTAATATCTCGAAAATAACAAACAAGGATATCTCAATATTTTTTGTAGTAAAAATACACATTTTTAACTTCTCAAAAAAATCAAAATTCACTGATTAAATTTTTCAAAAAATCCAACTCCTTCCGTCTCCTACAGGCAGTTTTTGAGAAAACCTAACAACACTTCGTGGTGTAATTTCGCCCTATAGATATAAATTCATTAACACGATTTATTTATTTACTAATTAAATCATCCAAAATCGTCACCTACATAAAAGAAAAGTTACGAATTCGAGTTCTTTTCTATTAAAAAATTTTTTAATCACTTGTACCTAGAAAATGAGATCCTTCAAACACACCCACATAAATAAAAATCATTAACATAATTTAAAACTTATCTCTGACCCTTAGAAAACAAATTTTTTGAAAAAATTTCGAAACTTCTCTAAATAAACAGCTACGATTTTCGGGTTAAGTTTTCTCGTTTCAGGAGGGGCTAAGGAACCACCAGGTAACAATGATTTTTCTTGGCATCGTAGGCAAACTTTTTTTTCTTTCCAAACACCTGTGGTCTATAATATTATTGTAATATTCCCGGTAATATTACCTTGAGGCGGACATTTTAAGATCACTGTAAGATTACTGTAATATTACAGCGTTATATTACGAATCTTACGTGTAATATTACCTTGATATTGAGGTTATATTACGTGCTTCTTGGGTATACGTATAAATAAACAGTAAGTGATGTCTAGAACAATTCAAATAGTAAATATTAGTGGTTTCAAGCGAATACGACGGTTCATAGAAAACTGTCCAACCGTATAGGAACCGCCATTTCCAATTTTTGAAAAAGTAACATCATATTCGTAATCAGCGACCCCGAAAACCCCCGAGTAACAAGTTTCAGGCAATTCTCATGATTTTTTAAAAAAGTCGTCTGCCATACTGGATCCGCCAATTTAAATTTTCTAAAACTAACATCATATTCGTAATCAGCGACCCCGAAAACCCCCGAGTAACAAGTATTAAGCAAATTATGTGGATTTTTAAAATTTTCGTCCGCCATAATGTATCAGCCATTTTGAATTTTCAAAAACTAACATCATATTCGTAATTAGCGACCCCGAAAACCCCCGAGTAACAAGTTTTAAGCAAATTGTGTGGATTTTAAAAATTTTTATCCGCCATATTGGATCCGCCATTTTGAATTTTCAAAAACTAACATCATTTTCGTAATCAGCGACCTCGAAAACCCCCGAGTAACAAGTTTCAGGCGATTCTCAAGATTTTTTAAAAAAGTCGTCCTCCATACTGGATCCGCCATTTTGAATTTTCAAAAACTAACATCATATTCGTAATCAGCGACCCCGAAAACCCCCGACTAACAAGTTTTAAGTGATTTTGGTTTATTTTTTAGATGTTACTTGACTGCATTTTAATTGTCGTGAATTATTGGAATTGCTTATTTAGGGGTAGTTTTTCATCCCTTTCCCTCAGGTTTGCAAGATTCTAATTATCATTTTCGGATTCAGCAGGGTTTAAACTATGGGAAACTACTCGTTTTTCATAATTCCCGCATGGGCAAATTTTGGTCATTTTTCAGCACCGTTCTTTGAATTGTACATGCCTTATATATTTTGACAGACGATTTTCAATATAAATAAATATTTCAATTTTTTCGATTATATTGAGTAAAAATTTTAAAGTCTGCTTCTAAAAGACAATTTGAAAAAAGATGTTTTATAACAAGCAAAAGTATAATAAAAATTTTTTGTAAAATTAAAAAAAAATTATTTTCAAACCTAATTTGTTCAATAATTATTTGGGAAACTATTTTCTTTCTTGTCTAAACATATTAAAAATTTAATGTTCATCCAATTTTCACAAACGATAGCTCGTCTTTCTTTTTAGAAAATTCCCTACAATTCTGTTTACCGATGTTTCTTAATGTAATATTTTCTTCATTTCATTTATTTTATTCTTGCTTAAATTTAATAAATAAAATAAAATTAAAAAAAATAAATTTAATAATTATTAAACATATTTGTAGAACTAAATTTTTCTCAGGGTTGTCACAAGAATTAATTGTTCAATTTTCCTTACATTTGCTTGACAGTAAAAATTTTTTCCTGACAGACAATTTGTATTAGTTGTTGTTACAACAGATAACAAATTTTAACGAAAATTTAGTGTTACAAAATTAGAAAAACATTTCCAAATTCATTTTATTGAAATTGTAATTCAAAAACGTCTTAAAATTTCAAAAAATTTTAAAGATTTTTTAATCTTTGATTTCATTCAATTTCCTTAACAAAAAACTTTTTTCCTTGACATTTCCCCGATTTCCCTGACATTTCCATAACTCTCCTGACTTGTGACAATACTGCTTTCTTAATGCAGTAAAATTAATTAATTATTTTTAATAATACCAAGTTTTTATTTAATGTTATGTTCAAGGTTGGACCATCTATACAAAAGAATCTGGGAATTTTTTAGATCTAAGCATGTAAGATATGTATATATTTATACGTTTATACCTAATTGAATAGGAGTTTCGCATGTAATTTCTAATTTTTTGAATAAATATACATAACAATTTTAAAAATAATATTTCCAGATCTTGATATTATTAAATTCATTGAGTAATTTAATGAATTTAATAATGTTAAATATTAAAAAACCATCAAAAGTTATGAATTTCAATCATTTTTAAAAAAAATTACAACTCAAATGCAATTTTCATATAAAATGAAAGTACTCATTTAATACCATGATGACTGGTAGGTCACGAGATCGCAGTAATGTTTATTTGACAGCAACGTTAATCTTAAACTTCTGAGTAAATTGAGATATTTTGTATATAAGTCTAAAATATGATGATAAAGAGCAGTGACGTGGAAAAGTTTATATACTTTTAAATTAAACTTTTAATAAAACAATTGAAAATAGTTAGAGAAAGTAAAGTTAGAGTGTTTGGATTCACTAACAAATTAATCATGTGACCTAACAGTCACATGCTGTTAAGATTAAAATGTTTCCATCTGTCATAAGTATTTACATCGTATTAAAACCTATCAAAATGAGACTTAATTTTTATACAGTAAAGATTGACAAAAATTGTTAAGGTCAATCAAATAACTCGATCTTCGCTCGGGAAAACGCTGAAAAGATAGTCAGTCGAGTCGAAAAGTGAGCAAAATTAAAATTCAAAATTTCCTATTTTAAAAAACGCTATCTTATAAAAAATAAAAAGATACAACTTTTTTGTCAAGGTTTTTTTATAAAACGAATATTATATACAATAAATATTAAAGACAGTTTATTTTTTTCCTTAAATTTAATTAAATTTTAAAATATAAATTGTCTTTTTGTAGACTAAATGTTCATGAATTCGCTTAGAATTTTATATACTTACTCAGTTGGGTCTGCTGAAAACAAAGAAACCATAAAAAGTTTCAAAATTATGTTTTGTTTCATTTTTTGTTATTACAAATGACCTGCCAAAAATGAAGTTTTCTTACTTTTGATTAATAGAAATAACCAGGAAAATAATAATTTGAACAAACTTCCAGTGAGAATGTTGTGCATCAGTGTTTCATAAAGTTTATCGAAAAGTTTTAATTAAATTTATTCAAAAATAACAAAGTCATGCAATTGTTTAAAAGAACGTGCTGCGCGTCAAATTCATAAAAACACACAACACAGTTAAGAAGGCTATTTTCAAACATGTCCACTGACATTTTTTTTCATTTTGCTTCCTCATGGGAGGCATTGTTTTTCCAAAATTTTTTCACTTCGATTCTTTGATGAATCTTTAAGTTTTTCGACCTGAGGAATCTAAAAATGACATTTTTAAAAAGTATCGTTCCGTGTGCCTGTGTATGTGTGTTTTTATAATCATCACATTTTCATAAATATCTCGAATACTATAAGCGAGCTAAAGGGCTAAATCTTGTTTTAAATTGTAGATCTCAACGGCGGACAAATAATCAGAATACTTTAACCCAAAATCAAGATTAACTAATTTTTTTTTGCATTTTAAAATTTTTGAAAAATAGTTTTTTGCCCATAACTTTAAAAAAATGTACTGACACCTATGGATATTATTCTTTAAATTTGTAAAGCTTTTCAAGGCAAATTTTTGATATATTAGCAAACATTTTACTGCAATTTTGTTCAAAGTTATTAAAATTTTAGGAATTCGAAAAAATCGTTTTTTACTCATAACTTTTAAATATATTTCGATACCTGAAAACATTCTTCTTTCTTCTTATAGAGTTTTTCAAGACAAATTTTGTGAGCTATTAGCGAACATTCTACTGCAATACTGTTAAAAATTATTAACATTTGAAGAATTCGAGAAAATCGATTTTGCCCATAATTTTTAAAAATGTTTAGATACCTGGAAATATATTTTTCTTCTTGTAGAGTTTTTCAAAACAAATTTTTTGAGCTATTAGCGAATATTCTACGTTAATTCTGTCAAAAGTTATTAACATTTTAAAACTGAAAAATTTTGAAAAACCTGACATTTTAATAAATGAGACTAATAAATTAACCACAAAAACTTTCCATAAGAAAGCAAAGTGTTCTTAGAATGAACAGAAATGGATGGAATATTTTTTTTTTAATTTTATATGTAAAATTTTTTATCCATTTCATTGTTATAATTAGGTATATAGAACTGTAAGAATAATAATATGTATTTTTAGGTTGAGTATAAGTTGTTATCAGTATTAATTGCGTGGAATTGGAAAATTGGAAAGAAAAAATTAGTAAAATAAGAAAAGCATGAACGAAAAGAATGTTATTGATTTATATACTTTATTATTAACAATTGTACTATTGTGGAAAAAGTTGACATAATTATATGCATAAAAGAAATTGTTAAAATAACTTAAAACGAAATAAAATTAACTGTGTTGTGTGTTTTGATGAATAAAGCGGGCGGAATGTACTTTTAAAAAATTGCATAATTTTGTTATTTTTAAATAAATTTATTTAAAACTTATAAAAAAAATTTATTAAACACTGATGAACAATTTTCTCTTAGAAAGTTTGTTCAAATCATAATTTTCCTGGATATTTTATTCAAAAAGACAATTAATGTTTTAAAACTTTATTAAATTTAAGGAAAAAATTACAAAGGTCTTAATATTTATTGCACATAATATCCGTTTCATAAAAAAAATCTTAAAAAAAAGTTTTGTTTTTTTATTTTTTACCAGATAGCGTTTTTTAAGAAAGAAAATTTTGAATTTTTATTCTTCTCATTTTTGGACTCGATTGACTATGTTTTTAGCGTTTTCCGAGTGAAGATCGAGTTATTTGATTGACCTCTTCAATTGTTATTTTTAATCAGTTTATCAGTGTAGTGAAAACATAAAAATAAATTGCAATACAAGTTACTTAAATAATTTGAAATTTAAAGAAATTAAATTTAAAAGGAGTAAAATTTTTTATAAATAAATTATGCTTGCCTAGCACAATTAAATATAATTTTTATTTTTTTGAAATTCGTATTTTTGACAAAAATTCGTCTTAAAAAATATTCTTAGTCAAATTTTTTCTCAAAAATGCGAATTCCAAAAAATCAAACGATGTGCTGAATTATAGTAGGCAAGCTCAATTATAAAGTATCAATCGACTATTTCATAAAAATATTTTTTTGTTAAATCAAACTTTATCTTGAAAAATATTGTTGCTTCTTTTTAAATGTAAATTTAAAAAAATTAGTTTTTTTCAGAAAAAATTATACTTAATGGCTTAAAAAAAATTTTGCTGTTTTTATTTTGAAAAAATGCAAATTTTAAAAAAAGTAAAAAGTTGTGCTAAATGATACCGACAATTATGTAAAACTTTAACTTTCTAGAAATTCTAATTTTCACCACATTTTAGAAATAGAAAATTATGCTTGCTTATACCTTTTTAAAAATTTAAATCTTAAAAAAGTTACTTGTTTGATTTAAATTTAAATAATCATCATCAGATTTGTAGATACATTAACATAATTATTTTCTTAACCCGTGTGTAAAAGCACACTAAAAAAAATAAATTTTTTACTACAACGATGTACTTGCGAAAATGTGAGGACTGTGTAACGGTTAGAATTGTAACGAAAAAATTGTTTAATCGCAATTATTTAGGATTTTGATATTTCGATAAGTTCACTCTCAACTTAAAAAATTTTACTGCTAAATTTTCTTTTCGAATTTAAAAGTTAAAAGTTGTAAAGATTTACCCAAAAAACCCTAAGAGCAATATAGTTAATTAATTACCTTTCTCTTTCTTTTGCTGAGGAACTGATTTCTTCTTATGTCCTTGTATGAATGTTGAAGATGATGGGGCTGATAAATTTTCATTACTTAAGCCCGAATTTGTTTTTGACATGTTGTCCATAATTTTCGCTTTAAAGTACATTGAGAAAAATATTTATTAAAGGGGTAATATTATCATAATAAAAATAAAACTCACTTTTATACAACGTGGAAAAGTAGGGTTAGGAATTTATTTGTTACATTTATACTTGAAAATTAAAAAATTTAATAAGACCTTCGAACATATAACAATACATAAAATTGTTTCTGTATGAATTTACTAGTGTGTGATAAAAGTTTTTAATTTTAAGAAATAAAATGAAAATTTTAAGCACTTACTTTTCTAAAAACGTGGTGCATCAAGTTCGTGCGTATAACAGTGTGAATTAACGTCACCCCGAAAGTAGATACGTAACTCGAGTTACAAATATACGTTGCCCTTGCGTATAGTCGTTCGTTCATTGGTGGAACATCAATTTTTGTCCAACTCGGACCAATATGGTTCTCTAATCTAACTGAAATCTCTGCGAATATCCACTGGATAGACCGTAAAATAATATCGCGGGAAACCGGCGTCTACTTGGGAAATAGGTGTGCATTAGTTCGTGTGCATGTATTGTGTTACGCTGTGTTTGTTCTTGGCACGTTTTTGGATCGAGAAATTCAAGATTTTTCAATTAAAATTTCTTTAAAAGGTAAGTTCCTCATGTCTATTACTTTTCAAATTGTTAATTTTTTAATGTGATATATAAGCAAGGTCATTGTTGTAATTCCCCTGGCGGATTCGATTTGCGTAATGTCTACTTAAGGGGGGAACACCAGTTGTAACTCAAAAAATAATGCTTTTTTCAAGAATATTTTCCAAAAGAACAATAAATCTTTTTAAAGAATACTATTTATTAGTTAAAAGTACATGTAAAAAGCTGTAATTTAAAAGAAAAAAAAAATTTTTTTAACAAAAACTTTTGGAGATATGAGCCATTGAAGTGGCGTCTTAAGAAAAAAGGCGAATTGCGGTGACCAGCATTCTGCAAGTATACTTCGTCTGAAATACAAAAATGAAATTGATTTACATTTATTATAAGATTATGTAGTTCGTGATCGAAGGATTTAAAAAAAAAAATTTGACAAAATGGCGACCTGTCAAAGTCAAAAGTATGATTTTCGTTAAAAAAATACGGTCGATTTTCAGCTATATAAAAAAAAGTTTTGCATAAAAAAAAATCCTTCGATCACGAACTAGACTTATATGTGTAAATGAAGCACACTAAATTTTAAATAAATCGGTTTAATGGTATTCGAGTAATCGTGGTCACCGACTTGGAAAATGTCATTTTGAGAAAAACGCATTCAAAGTTTCAACTTACTTTTTTTTGTTCAGAAGAAATTTTGTTTCCAAGTTACAAAGAGTCATCGATTCCTGGACCATATAATAACTCTTCCGCAGTGGTTGCCGTTTCTAAATCATAGGAAAAGGCCATCTGTCGTTAGGGTCAGGTATGGCTGGCCACCTTGTATGAAGCCACGGGACACGCCGCTGCAGTGTTCTGTATATCTCATTTATTTTTCACCGGATCAACTTTGAAATTTACAGACACATTTCTAAATATGTATACTTTAAGAAAATGCACAAAAAAAATCGATTTTTCGAAAGTTACAACTGGTGTTCCCCCCTTAACTAAGTGGACTTTAGGTAGACATTAGGTAAACATGTAAAAAAACGTATAGAAAAGCTATTAATCGACTTATTATGATAAAAAAAAGTTGATAAAAGGGTAAATGAATGTTTATAGAGTAAATTCGTACAAAATTTGTAATTAATAAAGCATTAAATAATTAATAATGAATGGAAATGTGCGCGAGGTACCTGATCAGTTCAGCTGTACAATTATTTTCGTGCTATTTTCATGAAAAGAATATAAATTAACGGCAAAAACAATTGATATTTATAAAAAAATCGGACAAGTGCGAGTTACACTCGCACTGAAATCGAGGGTTCCGTACTCGAAGCGAACTTATTCGGTATAAAAACAAATGTTTAAAAAATATGTGTCGTATGTTAAATAATATATGTGATACAAAAAGGAACAATTTTAAAAAAAAATTTAAGAAAATTGTTCCTCCTTTGGTATAAAAACAAAAAAAAAATTTAATATGTGTTGTATTTCAAATAATATAAGTGATACGAAGAGGAACAATTTTCTTAAATTTTACAAAATTGTTCCTTTTTGTATCACTTATATTATTTGAAATACAAAACATATTTAAAATTTTTTTTTGTTTTTATACCAAAGGAGGAACAATTTTCTTAAATTTTTTTTTTAAAATTGTTCCTTTTTGTATCACATATATTATTTAACATACGACACATATTTTTTAAACATTTGTTTTTATACCGAATAAGTTCCCTTCGAGTACGGAACCCTCGATTTCAGTGCGAGTGTAACTCGCACTTGTCCGATTTTTTTCGTTTTTTGCAAAAAAATACATTTTTTTATTAAATTTATCATTTTTCTTCAAAAATTTGATAAAAATTGATCAACTCCAATCGCGCTTAAATTTTTTCCCTGTATTTTTCACGCAAAAAACTGTTTTACAGCAAATATGAACAGTTTGGGTTGAATATTATGTGCGCTATGGAGAATAAATCATTTTTTTCGAAATATTTGATTTTTCCTGGACAACGCTATGTAAATTGATCCGAATCAAGTTCGCTATATTTTTCCTGTAATTTTCACGTAAAAATACGTAAGTGTACCATATTTGAGCTCTTTATGTCAAAAGATGTGGCTGCTAGGGGGGGGTACATAGTCATTTTTAGGTATTTTTCGTAAAAATTCATGGTTTTTCCTTGACAACGCTATGATAATCAACTCCAATCATGCTCGCTATATTTTTTTTGTAATCTACACGTAAAAATACGTTAAAATATATAAATTTAAATCCCTTTAAATAAAATTTTGTTCGTTTTTGGTGGAAAAATACATTTTTTCCCTAAAATTGTCATTTTTTCTTGAAAAACTTAATAAAAAGTTAATCATCAACTCTAATTGTGATCGCTTTTTTTTCCCTGTATTTTTCCCGTAAAAATACATTTGTATACTAAATGTGAACTGTCTGGGTTGAATATTCTTTGCGCTAGGGAGAAAAAATTAGTTTTTTTCGAAATTTTTGATTTTTCCTTGACAACGCTATGTAAATTGATTTGAATCAAGTTCGCTATATTTTTCCTGTAATTTTCACGTTAAAATACGTAAGTGTGCCAAATTTGAGCTCTTTATGTCAAAAGATGTGGCTGCTAGAGGGGGGGTACATAGTCATTTTTAGGCATTTTTTGTAAAAATTCATGGTTTTTCCTTGACAACGGTATGATAATCAATTCCTATCAGGTTCGCTATATTTTTCCTGTAATCTACACGCGAAAATACATATGTGTACCAAATTTCAGCCCTCTAGATAAATTCGTGTGGCCGCTAAGGGGGGAGTACAGGATTTCAAAAAAACCGATATTAATAGGGTTCCGAACCGAGTACGGAACCCTAAAAAGTGTAAAATTGATTTAATTTGAGTGTTTGCAATACGAATTATTAAATAATAATTAAGTTTTAATCAAATGTGAATAGTGTTGTGAAAACCTGTGAAAACTAATGAGTTACTACATTACCGATCGCATATGATAATAAAAAGTTCTCGATGAGTGTAACAAAAAAGCTGCAATTTAACCAAGTACATAATTTCCGAGATTGCCAGAGATGGCGCCACCAGTTTTTACAATGTGGGGAATAGCAGGCTTGTTGCTTCCCCTCTTCCGCTGATCTCCCTCCATGCGTAGAGTGGGATAGGACGAATGATAGTTAGTTCATATAGAGTCTCGAGACTGACACGACAAATGTATTACAATTATATTATTATATAGAAGATAGAATTTAGTGGAGTGATAATAAATTATCTTGTTATATTATTAAATAATGATTATTTAATATTATCCCGAACACAATAATGGGAATGATAAATAATTATTTATTGTATTAAATATTTCCCACAATTGGTGACCCCGACGTGATCGGGATAGCGTCGTGTTGTGAATCTATCAATATCACAAAAGAAATGGTCAATCGAAATATTATTTTAAATTAATTAAATTAAAGAAATTTTTTCTGAATTTCTCCAAATAAAATCGTGAAATTCTCACATGTATTTTGGCAAATTTTGGAACTTTCTCATTCGAGCACATGTTCATGTCATGGTGCCACCATATTGTTTGTGATAACAATTTTACTTGGATATTCTCCACTCTCGAGGTATATTGATTTTAATATTTGACCAGAGAAGACACAGCAATGTTTTATTTGAAAACATTAATTTTGAATCAACACCAATATACCTTTTGACTGATGTGAGTTAACCTCGGAAATTGACGTATAACCAAATTTGGAGTAACGATTGGAGAGCCGAATTTGGAATTCCTGATGTTGGTGAGACAAGCTGTTTAAGGGGAGGTTCTCATTGCGGCGACGAAAAGAAGTCCAAGATGTAACATTTTTTTGCAAGAAACTGTTATGACATATCGATCTAGGTTTTTTTTATAAATAAAGATACATCCTTAAGCTTTTAAAAAATATTTTTTGTTTTCAAAAATTTTTAAAATGGCGGCCAATATGGCGATTTGAAAAACCAATGTTTTTTTTAATAAGTGAAACGGTGGGCACTCTGCACTCGCCAATTTTTAACCTAGAACAAAAAACCAAAATTTTTTAGAAAGCTGACATCCTAAAGAATAGGTTATACCTGTAAAATGGCCAAAAAGTTATATAAATGACAAAATGGCGGACACTTTTTTTAAAATATGCGATTTTTGCACTATTTTTTCATGTTTAACCCCTTGTAAAAAAGGGTTATTGTTAACAATTATACCATATTATTGGTATAACCCCAGCAGAATTTAGTTATCTTTCATTTGCCGGAAACCGGAAGTCAATTGGTTGAATAGTTTAGACGCTACAGTGCCCACCAGTTTGAAAAATCTTGTTTCGAGAAAAACGCGTTTAAAGTTTTGGGAAAATTTTGAAGCATTTTTATGTGTAATATCTGTCTACTCTTAAAAAGCGATTCAAATGCCTGAAATTCCTTACTCGGGAGTTTTTGGGGTCGCTGATTACGAATATGATATCAGATTTTCAAAATTCAAAACAGCGGAACCAATATGGCGGAAGACTTACGACCTCAGCGGTTTTCAGCCTCGGAACGTCGGTGAGTTCAAGACGCTATAGAAACGAAAATATTCTTCGGATCAAAAAATCGCTTTACAGACACATTCCACACATATATAGCTTTCAAAAAATGCAATAAAAAAAATATATTTTTTTTTACTCCCGCAATGGGAACCTCCCCTTAATTAAGGAAAATTAAAATTATTTTCACGCTTTCTGAAAGTAGCGCATGGGCATCACTATTCTGAGCCCATGCAAACAGGTGCGTAAAGCAAACATAACCTGTTTTTTGCAAACTAATAACTTTCAGATTTTTCTTTCCCTTATACCTTTTTTTCTCCTTTTCATGAGAAGTGTTCGAGCGATGTTTGTAACCAATGACTACTGAGGATTTCTTGAGGAACTTAATCAACGACTCACGACAGGAAGGAAATTTTGATTTTATTGCCTAATTCACAATCTACACATGGATTTT